AATTTTTTTTTTTTTCTTTTTTTTTAGCATTTGCAGTGTTAGCAGACGAGCGACCTCCAATGCTAGAACACAGAATTACGGCACGGAGAGGAATGTGGGACACGACAATCCGGCATATGGGCAAACATACAACGAACCAGAATATATGGAGATTGATGCATTTCAACAGCCAGTACCACACGCCGATGTTGGTTTTCGTAACCCTTATTTTGATCCTGGGGATCATTATCAATCATTGGGTAATGCACATGGGAGACCTGATAATGTCTACGGAAGACTTAACTTAACAGGCGAGCACAGTCAGTCAGAAGTGTAGATTTTACCTTGAGTAAGGTTTTCTAGGTACTGCACTCTTACCAGAAGAACATTAGGTTAACTTGCTAGAAATTGTGTTACAAGCAATACTCCAATTTATCATAGGTGGTGCAGGTTAAATTTATGTTAACCCTCGGGTGCATATGTAATATCTTACGCCCACGATATGGAGAGGGGGTAAATGATCCTCTCCATCTCCTCCCCTCCTTTCTCGCGTCGTGGGTTCTTTGCTGACGGAAACACCCACAAAGTATTTTACTTTAAGTGAATGGGATTTAGTTTGGTTTAAAAGGTAGAGGTTTCGATTTAATATTTGTTTCTGTGTAAAGCGTTTTATTTCAGAGAAAGAAAATAGGTTGTTGCGCTTGAAGCATTCAGGAAGAAAAGTATTGCCCACTCTAACGTGCATACTAAAACTTAAGGTGTTGATCGATCAGTAATTTCTCGAGGGGATTGGTCATCAGCTACCGTATTCTCATAACCGAACGATTGACTTTGTTGTAAAAATTTCAAAAGAAATAAGACTGATAGGAGTAGAATTTAATACATGCAGTTTCGGTGCCCCGATATGTGAGATCACAGAACCAACATCCATTGCAGTATTGTTAGTAATGTAATGGTATATAATCATCTTACATGTCATCAATGCAATATAAATTTCAAAAATCAGAAGAAGCTTAGATCTATATAATGTTGAGGATGTAAAGTAGTACTTAGTAGTTTGTCCTTGCACATCAATAAACTGCACGTTGTTTAATCTGAAAACTGTCTCCTTTTTGCGATTTCCCGCCTTATTGGTCCGTCTCTCTTGTAAGCTTAGGCAAAGGTCGGCTCCAAACCTAATAGTTTGATTTTGATTTTGATATTTAAGTGAATCAGTCATTAATGAAATTCATTGAAGTTGCAGCAAGAGCTCTTGCATTTCTTCGCACGTTTATCTTTGCACTCTCCAGTGGCGGATGTAGGGGAGGCCCCCCCGTCTTTATTTTAGGTAAAAAATAAACAATTGCAGAAGGAGGAAAAGCTGGCAGGGAAAGCAAAAAACAAAAACGCCCCGCCAGCCTCCCCCTCCTCCCTTCTCTTAGTTCAAGATCTGGTTCCGCCACTGTACATTTGTTGTGCGTTAGGAAATACGCATACCTGTCCAACGTGTTCCACGTGTGCCAGCACGGAATCCGTCCAAAGAACACACGGTGTAGCAGATGTACAATTATCGTTGGGGAACCCACTGGGGATGAACGGAGAAACTAGAAGAGCCCACCCGCTCTTTCCTAACACTCTGCGCATGCTCTCAGCTCTACTCGTTAGCTCTAGAGTAGTTCACTTTTTAGTACTATCGCTAAGGATAGCATTTGGAGAAGGCCTGGGATGAGTGGACCAGGGAATTCAGGGCTAAAGAGCAGCGGGCCTCTTTACCTGCTCCCTTGATTGAAAGTTAATACCATGTTCTCGGAATGCCCACGAGCTTATTCGCCTGATTACGTGATTTTTATGCGCAGTATAGGATACGCAGTGCAATACTAAGGATTCACCTTAAAATAAACTCATGCAATTGAAATTGGTTTGCGTTTTAAGAAATTTCTTTGTGTTTTGAGAAATTATTTTGGTCTTTGAGATTATTTTGTGTTTTGGTTAATTGATTTGTGTTTTTGGAGGCTGATTGGTGTTTTGGTAAATGTTTTTTGGTTTTACCCTTTTGAGCCTGCGTACTACCGGTAATGCGCTCCGCGAGTCGAACACACTAACTCTTGATCGTTCGTTTTTTACCCTAAGAAAATTGTTCGATTGACCGTATTTTGTTAGTTTTTACGATATTTTTCCTGTTAGTGTTCCATTTTTCCTGTGTCAACTGAAATCTCCCAAGCTTTTATTCTAGTTTTTAACACAGTCTCATAGTAGCAGGCCACATTATCAATGCCCCAGTTTGGACGGGAAATGTCAGTTGATTGTGATTAATAATGCTCATACGTTTTCTTGAATGTGTAGATGGAGCGTTACGTTCTGTTATGCATTTACACTCTGTTATGCATTTAAGTGACCTTCTCCTATGCTCAGGAAACCAAAGAGATGACGATCTCAGTCCCGCTCTTAGAGTCACAACCAAATGTATGCCAGTATGCACCATTAAATCAAAATCACTTCACATTATCTTAATAAAAATATCTCGATATATTTTTTGGTTACATCTGTTTCACTTAGTTTCTCACATCATCCCGTATTAAGTCTCTCGCTGTTTGACGGCTTGTATTCACGGCTTCGTCTAATGACGTTTCAAAGTGCACACAAAAGTACCAGCTACGCAGGTTCACCGTTCCATTATATATCATCGGCATTTTCGCTAAAAAGTTGGTTAAAATAGGTCACGCGAGATTTTAGAGAGGAAAAATTGGCGTTAATTTTTACTTGTGTTATAGACAGATCATGTTAAAAGATCTTGGAATTTGTCAAGTGTAAGATCCATTACAATGCAGGTATATGTTAAATTGAGCTTTAATTGGCAACCTGAACTTACTCTAGTTAAAGTTGCAATGCAAAAATGACAGATTCTGCCCACCCAATAATAGGTGATACTTGGTGGACCCCAGACATAGATCATTTGGTTGTTGTGCAAGGGGCATTAATGCTAATTGCTGCCCCGATTTTAGAACTTGTTGCCCTAAAAGATGGGCTTGCTTAATTCCACAGAAAGAATGAATTCAACTGTCGTCTTCATCTGTATTGCGAGGGCAGACCATTCTGCTAGTTAATAGTACAGACAAACGTTGCCGTGATTAGTGGTACAGCTGGTATGGA